TCTGAAATTAGTTATCTATAAAATATTGGGTTCTTATCCTATTTTCTTATTTTTATAAATATAAGTGATGCAGATGATGTTTTATTTTTCCTAGTGCAAAAATAAAATCTGTGACAATGCATAACTATACAACGAGTGTCAGAAGTTGGTAGAAAGTAAAATTGTTTGAACAACAGCAACAACAAAACTAAATTATTCAGAAAATGAATCAACACTACAAAAGAGCAACTATTGTTTCAGAAAGAGGTTTAGTTTTAATGTAGATTATTCTTTGATTACCTTGAGTCATTAAATTGAAAGCTACTAGGGCATCGACTGTATCTTATTCATCTTTCATCATCCAAACTGAATAGAATAGACTTTTACACATAATATTATCTCCACCAATATCTGCTAAATTTAATGTGAGACTTACAGTGAAAACTGTTCATAAACACACACACACACACACACACATACATACACACACACTACATTCTACATACCCTCATTACAATACTAAATTTCTTTTTCTAAAAAATATTTTGTATATAATCCTTATTGATGTAGTTGATGAAACACTATATACAAAACACTGGCATGTCAAATATTGTATAAAAAGTATAGAACAGGTTAAAAAAAAAAAGCCCTGTTTTCTTTCTTAGCTCACAGTGCTAGTAAGCTCACCCTTATAGTGCTAGCATAGGAATCATTATGGTACAATTTCATTAGAGCCGTATGACAATATCCTTCTTCTTTATTTCAGATAAAACACAAAGGATATGGGCATTATTATTAGAGAAAGGACACAGAATTTAGCTGTAATACTTTGAGAGTTGTTTCTTCCTCCCTTAAAGGGAAGAGGAAGACAGAAGGGGCTTTATCTGCTTCCTTCAGAGGCCCTGAATCATGTATAAGATGCGGTGGTGACTTCAAACACGGAGCAGTTTGTGTTAGTGATTTACAGAAGTACTATTTTATTTTATTTCTAGCACAAAATGTAAGTGTCTGAATGCTTTAGGTAGGCACAAAAGGGAACATGAAGGATGTCTGAGATCATCAAGCCCAACAGGAAGATTAGAGCGAGAAAAGGGAGAAGCACTAATAACTGCCTCACTGGAATTCCCAGGCTGATCAAAGGGGCCAGTGAGTATCACAGGTAGGACCTGAGGGGAAGTAACTTCTGAAGATTTCTCGTGCCTTAGAGTCAGCAGAACAACTGTCTGAGAGCTGCATCACATGCAGAGGAGATTTGGTGGGAGAAACACACAATACATGTGCCCAGATAGAGCAGTCATCAACAGCTTTGTCTATCTGACAGATATATAAGTTGTCCCTTGGTACCCAAGGAGGATTGGATCCAAAACCCCAGAAGATACCAAAATCACAAATGTTCAGTTTTCTTATATAAAATGGCATAGTGTTTGCAAATAACCTAAGCACATCATCCCCTATACTTTAAATTATCTCTAGATGAACTATAATACTTCATGCAATATAAATTCTATGTAAATAGCTCTTAGACTATGTTTTAAAAATTTTAATACTTTTGTCATTGCACTTTTTTTTTCAAATATTTTTGATCTGGGGTTGATTGAATCTGCGGACACAGATCACACAGATACTGAGGACCAACAATATATTATTTTCTGTAGATGAAGATTCAGCAAAGATTTACAGGAAAGGAACTTCTGGGATTCCTATATGTGGCCTCTTTCTCTGTAACAAGCACATCCCAGATCTAGATCCCATGAATTCCCCAAAAGAAAGAAAGACACAGAGGCCACCCAGCCCTACCAAGACTTCCACTAATGGCCTTTCTACAGTTGCAAGGAAGATAGGGGTGGAGGATAATAATATCTGAACTTGGCTGAATATTTCTTCCAAATGAAACTGAGATTTTAAGTAGTCTAAAAGCACTAGACTATGCTAAACATATTGAAAGGGCATGTTGATTGGCAACTTTAATTATCCATTTCCTATTCCCAATTACTAACTTCTAAAGGTTGATGAGTGCTTCATAAAACTGGTAGTAGTTACTGAAATAAAACTATTCCATGTTTGTAGATTGCTGAATTGAGACTATAAATTAAAATTGCTACATATATAACAGAATTAGAAGACATTTTGGAAAGAACATTTAGTCCACAAATGTTTCTATATGAGAAGAGTAAAAAGATGAGAGCTACTTGACTGGGAGTGAATATATAAGCTAAAATTAATTTATCATTAAGTCCTGATATCACAAAAGTCAGGGATATCCCTTAAAGTTAAGAAAATCTTTGGAGAAGAAACCTTTTTTTACTTCCAAAATAGAATTCACCTGCTTAATTCATAAATAATTTAAAAAGAGGATCAATAAATTAAGAGTCAGGACGTCAATAATGAATTAAAAAGTGAAAGTAATATGGCTTTTTTTTTTTTTTTTTTTTTGAGAGGCAATCTTGCTCTGTCGCCCAGGCTAGAGTGCAGTGGCACAATCTCTGCTCACTGCAAGCTCCGCCTCCCGGGTTCATGCCATTCTCCTGCCTCAGCCTCCCCAGTAGCTGGGACTACAGGAGCCCGCCACCGCAGCCGGCTAATTTTTGTATTTTAGTAGAGACGGGGTTTGACTGTGTTAGCCAGGATGGTCTCGATCTCCTGACCTCGTGATCCGCCCATTTTGGCCTCCCAAAGTGCTGGGATTACAGGCGTGAGCCACCACGCCTGGCCAGTAATATGTTTAAGAAATTAACCTATCCTTTAACGTTGACACAAATTATCCCTTGATTTCGCTATGAAAGAAGGAAAATAATAGATTATATGGATTATGGATATGACCCAGCATGACAGTTTTTTCCTTCTTAGCAAATGGCCTAACCTCTACTCATACTCTTATAAAAGCTGTATTTTTTTTTTCCTTAAATAGAGCACAACTCAAATCATTCTTTGGCTTGCAATGTGTCTATAGGAGGAATAAACCCATATGTCATTATAATTGTATAGATTGGATTTGTACTTTTGTTATGGAGCACAACCACAGTCATACTACAACTCCATTCTGTGTCAAAGAGAGTTGTCTCAAAAATACAGGAAACAAAGTATCAGAAAAAAATCCAGTATGTTCAGACAACTGTGTAAGCAATGAAATGCAATTGGTTTTATACAAAATTCCATCTTATTTGCAAGGAGAGAAATATATTTACATGTTTTCAAAAACACTTGTTTAATATTTAATTGGCAACATATAGAATCACATGTTGTTTTGTTGGTGTTGTTATTTTGAGACAGAGTCTCACTATATCACCCAGGCTGGAGTGCAGTGGCACAATCTTGGCTCACTGCAGCTTCGTCTCCCGGGCTCAAGCGATCCTCCCAACCCTCAGCCTCCTGAGTAGCTGGGATCACAGGCGCACACCATCATGCCTGGCTAATTTTTGTATTTTTTGTAGAGATGGAGTTTCACCATGTTGCCCGGGCTACAATTTTTCAGAGTTATATTCCTATGAAGAGCTACTTGAATGTAGAATTATTTTGTATTTCAACAGTGCCTCTACATATTTCTTTAGCAATATGATTGGTTTTAGTACTGGAACCCTTCACAGACTTTGCCAGCAACCTAATTTGTAATATGTTTTGAGTAAGGATGGCGTATTATTAGTTCTCAAACATTAGCATGAATCAGAAGTCACCTCAAAGGCCCATTAAAACAGAGACTCAGGGAGAGTTTAGTAGATTCACAGCTGGGCCTGAGGATTTGCATTGCTAACAGGTTTCCTGGTGATGCTGATGCTGCTGAACTGGGGACCACATATACTTTTCAAGAATTAATACAAAAAATATAATTTGGAAAAAAGTCTCAGAATTTTTATCAGTAGCTTGATAAAAATTATAGTTTGTTAAAAAAATCATTAACATCCAAGTTACAATAAACTCTTTTTCATTAATTACTAAAGAAAAATAGTTTTACTTACATTATTAACTTTTCAGGTCATTAAAAAATTTAATACTGAAAGTATGTGGCTGCCAAAGAATCTCCATGTACTTAAGTTCATTTTGGCCAAAAATAATATTTGATTTGAAATAAAATATATAAATCATAATATAAAATCTGCAAGTGACATTTTTTAACTATCCACACATGGGCATGCATATGCCACTGTAATATTTTGATACCACATTCATTAGGTTATGAATAAACGCTCTGCCACCTGACGTATTTCAACTAAACAACAGAATATAAATCAGTGAGCAAATTGTTCATGATTAAACAACAAGTAGTAACAAGTAGATTTTGATTATAGCTTTTGGTTAAAATATAATTTTCCTACTTTATTAAAACTTCACTTATCATTGTGAATATCTCAACATATTTATACTATTTATAGATGAATTCCAAATACATTCCCAGCTCTCTGATTTTGGACTGCTCAAATGTTTTGTGCTTAATACAATGGGGAAAAGAAATGTAGAATTGAACAACAGCCCCCTCCAAGACAAATTCCAAACGTATAAAACACATTTTTAAAGGCTTGGGTCCTTAACTTTTTTGCACAAAATACTGCAATACATATATTTAATGTTAGTTCCCTCATTCACATTGACTTAATATTACCTTGTATAACTGGTGTTATATCTGATGTTCTCCCGCATGCGTGTCCAATGTCTGATGTTGCTTGTAAATGGAGACTTAAATCTTTAGTCAAGTCTTTTATATGGTTAAGAATTATACAAAATTTTTATCAGACTAATTAAAATGTGTAATTATAAGGTCCATATTTTTATTATTTGGCATTTTCTAGTGGCAATGCAATTAATGTCTTAGAATGAACAGCAGGACACATTCAAGAAGGCAATCAAGAGAATGATGCAGGTGTTGGCCATGCCACCTTGGCAATCAGTCTTTGAAATCAGATAATTTCAAAATCACTCTCATATCCCCACCCCTGCTTCTTTAGTCCAGTGACCTCTATGTCTGACCTATTCTAAAGATTTATAATCAAGAAGCCATTATTGTTGTCTTCTCTAACTCACATACTTACAATCAGGAGGCATCTTTTCCATAAATATCTTGTAATATTCTTGTAGAAGTTCAAAGTTTTCCTGATTAATATTTTCTTGCAAAGAGACATCTCCAAACCTACAAATAGAAGAAAGAAAACAGTTACAAGTTATAAAATGGCACCAAAAAGTAACACGTTTTACCTTTCCTTTTTAAATGGATTGGAATAATTTCCTAAGGAAAGAGTCTGTCTCATTTTTCAGGCTACAATGCACAGTGGTGATTTCAAACATATTCCAATCTCCACTGGCCCTGATTTTACTAATCACTTCTAATGCATCAAATAACCTCACAACCATCAAATGTGAATTTGTAGGAAATACCATGTATGAAACACCAGTCTTTGTGCATGGACATAATTGATAATATTAGTTTCCCCATCCTACTCCACACCTCCGCTGCAGGGCTGTATCTCTGTATGTGTTTTAAAAAACCTTCTTTCTTATTATCTATCCAATCTTCCATTTCACTCATGGCTGCTTAGGGAGAGGTCCAGAAGACCAGCACTGGACACTGGGCTGCACACAGTCTTGCCCACACTATCAACTGCTATAGGCACACGTAGAGCCAGATTTCCCAGACAGTAGATCATTTCTGCTGACATTTTTTTCTGTTCATACCGAGAAGTCAAATGGTTCTGTCCACATAGTCTTCTTCAAACTGTAATGTAATGTTTGTTGACTTCTCTTCCTCACAGGATTATACATTATTTCAGGATAGGAAGCAGATTCCATGCTTCTTGTTATCCTCTATTCCCCTTATATCCCACAGCTTGGCAGAGCATATGGTATTTTAAAAATACCATACTGGCTTAATATTAGTGTTATGGAGTAAATGCTTGTGTTGTCCTAAAATTCATATGTGGAAACCCTATCCCCAAAATGGCAGTATTTAGAGATATGGCCCCTAAGGGGTCAAGTTAAATGAGATTATGAGGGTGGGCTCTCTCTGTTCACAGGCACAAAGAAGAGGTTGTGTGAGCACACGGGGAGAATGTGGTCAGTCATTTGACAGCCAGAAGAAGAGCCCTCATCAGAAACCAAATTGGCTGGAACCTTGACCTTGGACTTCCTAGCTGCCTGAACTATGAGAAACAAACTTCCATTGTTTAAGCCACCCAGTCTATGGTATTTTGTTACAGCAGCCCTAGCAGACTAATAGTATTTATTTATCTAAGAATGGTCATATACAAGATCTACATTTTGATTTTGAGTAAACAGTAGTAAAATATTACTTCTAGATTACATAGCACATCTAACATGTAGATGTTGCTGGTAAAGCTCAAAATTCAGAATCAGAAAAAGGAGGTTCAGAGAACAGAGAGTAAGCAATATGCCCAGATTAACAGTTGGTTGCTGTCAGAGTGCTATTCATATTCAGGCCTCCTTCTCACAGGGTTTCCCTACTTTGCCATTTTGCCTTCTTTTCCAGTCTTGTGTGTCTTGTACGGCTTCTGTGTGTGAAAAAAGTGCATTCTTAGTATGAAAGAGAGATGAGAGGGAAGGAAAGGACACTTCTTAAATAAAATGACTGACAACTAAAACAGTCACAATGACAAGAATGATGCAAATTAGTCCATTTTAGAAGCCTTGAAAATATAATGCTGACTAGTCTTTGAAAAGTCTGTGAATAAAAGAGTCTCATATCTCTCTCAAGATCGCAATAACAGACCTTGTTAATTCCAACTCAAAACACTCTACTCTAGTGTACCAAAGAAGAGGCAATTTGGAGTGCTGTTTTCCTGCTCCACGTTGTATAGTTTATGATCCGGAATATCATTCATCTCAAACACTGAATTTGCTAAGACAAATATGTATAGATAAATAGAATATAATCTGATCCTAGACACTAGCCTTCAAAAGTGCTTAATTACCAAAGCAAGGAATGTGCTAGGTACTTTTAACCTTACCTGTGGGGCAGGGGTCACTTGGAGAGTGAATTATAGACAAGAAAGCATGTTAAATATTATACTACCAAAGACTATCAAACTCCCCAAATTGTTGCCTGTGAAAGAACTTCTCCAGCCAGCCCCCACAGCGAAGATGATAACTTCTTTCTCTAAAATATTTCAAAAGTATGCTCTATGATCTTTTTTTGTTAATTTTTTGAGACAGAGTTTCACTCGTGTCACCCAG